GAGCAAAACTTTTATAACCACATGTCCAACAATTTAAAAAAAAAAAACAAACAGTTTCCATTCAGTCAACTACAACTCATGGCAACCCCATATGTGTCAGAGTAGAACTGCGCTCCATAAGTTTTTCAATGGCTAATTTTTCAGAAGTAGATTGCCGTATCTTTCTTCCAAGGCACCTCTGGGTGGATCAGTTAGCAGCCGAATACGTTAACCGTTTGCACCACCCAGGAACTCCAAGTCCAACAACAGAAGGCATTAACTACACTGTCAAATACCCATAAGAGAATATTATGCATGCAGTAGTCATAATATCATAGAAGAATATTTAATGGTATGGAAAAATGCCCATGACACATTAAGAAAGATGTAGTTACAAAACATTGTTTATTAGAAACACATCATTACAGAAAAGCCTACCAACACAAAGAAAAAGACTAACATTATATATACCATATAAATATATATACCATAATGTTAGCCTTTTGGTTAGCAGCCGAGCACTTTAACACTGTGCCACCAGGGCTCCTTAACATTAAGAGTAACTTTAATTATTCCTTTTCTACACTCCCAAAATTGCCAACAGTGAATATGTAATACTTTTTAACTAGGAATAAAGTTATTTAAAATCTCTTTACCATGCTTTCATCTTTTTCCGCCTCCACCGCAAAAAAAATAATGCCAACAACCAAGTTACGTGCAACTAATGAAAGAATACAGTGCGTCTATTCGACTATCCTACTTATTCACAAAGAGCAAATACAACTTGCCGTGTTTTGAACGTGGAGAAAGAGAAGAAGGGCTAAGAAAACTGGGCTAATGTAAGGCCACAGCACTGAGCTAGAGGCATGACTAGATCCCCAGACGAACAATTCTTGGACTCCAGTGATGCCACCTACATCAAAGGGTTTCCACAGCCACCCTGCTCTTTAGGAAGAAAGCGTGCCACGTGCCACCCACAGGTCACCATCTGTCCGCATAGTGAGGCTCAGCTCCTCGTGCTTTGCTGTAACAAGCCTGCCAGCAGAGCCAAGTCCCCATTCATCAGTTTGTCTCCCAGTAATGAGCTCCCTCGGCTCCCTTCCACGCTGAAAAGGAGTGGCTGCAGAACGGTGCCAGCCAGAGGAGCCCCTTGCGAACGGCCCATCGAAGAATCCAGGAGTTGGCTGCGGCTGGGCCACAAGACGCCAAAGCAAACAGTCACTGCGGTGGAAAAACTCAGCTTGCCTCGAAATGGAAGGCTTTACTCCTCTCCCGGCTGGGGTGGGGTCTGTGACAGGGCACAGATGTGGAGATGACATCCATTAGGTGATGCTCTAGGCGGACACCCCAGAGGCAAGTCTCCTCCCTAACATCCTGCAGCACGAGCAACTGCATGTCAATCATCCCCTTCCTTCCTGACACCCACAGGAAAGGGTCAGCTTGCAAACAAGCCTGTGTTTCACACATGCAATATTTACAATCCTTGCAATCTCCCGTCTATAATAGTCGCATTTTAGGCTTCTGACCAGAGCAGCTGGCTGAGGGCCCGTCTCTTTAGGCCAGCTTGGTTGGAACTGGAGCCTGGGGGAATACATGCTATGCTACCCCATTCAGTACACATTTGCACCCACAGTCCCTTTTGTCTGGAGGTACTACCCCAAGTCTCCAGGGTCAGTCCTTTAGACTTTCCTTCTCTCTGGAGGGGGGTAAAACCCGTTTCAACTCATGACAACCCCATGTGTGACAGAGTAGAACGGCTCCATAGGGTTTTCTTGACTGTAATCTTTACAGAAGCAGGGCCCCAGGCCCTTCTTCCATGGTGCCGCTGGGTGGGTTCACACAATCAACATTTAAGCTAGTAGTCCAGCACAAACCAGGTGTGCCATCCAAGGACTGGAGGGAGTTAAGAGGCCATAAATTCATATTGGTCCTGTGCACCACCCAAATACTTCCTGAAGCAAAGTTTAGTGCCTTCAGGAGCTAACGCCTGATTAGAAGAGCTAAATGCTGAAATATTTCATGATCATAAACACTTCTGATGACCTGGACAATCACTGGATCACTTATGCTCTGCATATGCCATGGTCTTCTTAAGTTGCTCCTGGAGAATTCAAACTGTACGTGAAACTAAAGGCTACCTCCGGCGGCCAGTCTGTGCAGAAGGCTCGCTCTCGGATGCTTTCAATAAACACAGACCCATGACACCAGTTCTGAGAGCTGGACAGTCATCTCCACGGCTGTGCGCTGTCATGTTTGGGAATTTGGCCAGACACCAGAGCTGCCAAGATGCCGTGCACGATGCAAACAGACACTCCCTCAGCTCTCTCACTGCCGAACTGTCAGAGAGGAAACAAGGCGTCCGTGTAGAAAGGGGGCCAAAACGTTCCTCTTCCCACCAATGACTCATTACAAATTCCACAGATGAGGCATCTGAATTTGCGAAGGCCCTTGTCTCCAATGGTCAGCCCTACTGCCGATGCGTCCACCTCTCACACCCCTACGCCCCAAACAAAACTGTCTCTTTATCCTGAAGCGTTGTACAAACCAGGCCCCAACCAGTGTGGGGAAATACCACCAACCTAACTCATCAGGGAATCCTTCCGTAAGGGGGTTCTGAGCCTGCTGCTCCAGGCAGGGAGCCCCAAGCAGAGGTGATTCAGCACTCGTATAACTTCAGGAGGGTTCTGGGAAGAAATTTTTCCAGCTTATTCTATCATCAGAAACAAGAACTCAGCTTGTCATTCCTCATTTCCTCGCTGTGCTCTGATTTATCTACAGGCTGCTACTAGAACCAGAAAACCTCTCTCCCAGGGTCCGAGAGTGACCGCGGGCAAGTCAGAGACCAATTTCTGGCTGGAGCTCAGGAGACCTTTTTGGCTGCATGCTGTAGTCATGTTGTGACCTGCAATGGACTCACCGGGAGTGGCTTCACTCAAACTCTAAACGCAACACAATGTAAATAATTTCCTTAGCACCCTCCCCGCACTCTACCCGCCCTCAAACACAGTAGTGGAAAACCTTCATCATTATGGGGCCCCTGGATGGAGCAAAGGGTTAACATGTTTGGCTGCTAACCAAAACATTGGGGGTTTGAGTCCACCCAGAGACACCTTGGAAGAAAGGCTTGGAGATCTATTTCTGAAACATCAGCCATTGAAAGCCTTGTGGAGCATCATTCTACTCTGACACAGCCAAGGTCACCAAGAGTCAGAATCAACTTGATGGCAAGGGGAAAGGATAGCTCATTTTTAGTCTGAGCCGTCTTCTCTTCTACTGTGTATCTCAAACGTAGGTCATGACCAGGCTCGCCAATGCTCCATGCCCTGGATGGGGAAGTACATAACTGTCTACCCTCCCCATGGAGAGCCTCGCTCACCGAGAGCGTAAATATACATCTGTCACATATTTGCTCAACAAAGTCATTCTCCTCCAGAGCCGGGACAGAAAGGCACAAGGAAAAATCAGCATTCAGGTGTTCAGCTGTTCCAAACTGTCTTGTCTCAAAAAGCTGGGCAGCGTATGGTGGAAGCTTGGCAGATACAAAGCTTTATGTCAAATTCATTTCACATTCTATTTTAACCTAAACCTCCACATTATAATTAACTTTATGCCTCCAGGCACACTGCGTTCAGGAGGCTTGACACAAAGCTTCCCCAGGTAGAAATAATTTATTTCAGGCTTAGCGCTCAGTGACTGCGGATGTGTCAAAACAATCCAACAGCCTTGTAGGAGGCAAGATTATATTTGGTAAACAGGGGCTACAGAAGCTGGGCAGGCCAGCCCTCACCCTACAAATGACCACCCAATGGCAACCACAAGCGGAGACCAAGGATGTCGTTTGCTGCACAAGCAACTCGCCACTTGGCTGCTTCTTAACCCAAAACCTACAGGTGGCTTCTGTCCTTCCAGTATAAAATATCAGAAACTATTATAGCACAAAATAATTGTACAAACACACAATACCTTATTTCTTTTTAAATATCCAGTTTCAGTGTACACTCTCCCCTTACTGAAAAAAATTACCAGAAATCATCAACTTTCAATGATACCAGATGCAGAGAAGACAACCTCCCAGGCCTCCGCCACTGAGCGGCAGTAAGACGATAACTAGGAGAACATCTTCATTATTAAAAGCTGGGGTTCCCAATGTGTAGATGCCAAGTGTATACTAGTGGTTAATGCCAACAGCCCAGTGTGCACACACACGCACAACAGTTAAATAAACGTAAAACTCCTCCTGACCATGACTTCCCATTCTCCCAAACCAAACCAAACCCACTGCCATCAAGTCGATTCCCACTCATTGCGACCCTAGAAGGTTTCCAAGGCTGTAAATCTCTGCGGAACAAGACTGCCACATCTTTCTCTCAAAGAGCTGCTGCTGGTTTCGAACTGCTAACCTTTCAGTTAGCAGTCGATCGCTTTAACCACTGCACCACCAGGGCTCCTTTTTCCCATTCAAGTGGAGCTCAAATTTTGCTGCTTTAACCACTGCACCACCAGGGCTCCTTTTTCCCATTCAAGTGGAGCTCAAATTTTGCTGCACAGTAGAAATTAGAATCACATGGAAAGCTTTTAAAACACTCCATGCCCAGGTAGCACAGTTGCACCCTAGGCCAAATCAAAAAAAGAAAAAAAGAACCAAACCAGTTGCCAGTCAATTCCGACTCATGGCGACCCCACGTGTGTCAGAATAAAATGGTTCTCAGTAAGAGTTTTCAGAACGGTGACCTTTTGGAAACAGATCGCCAGGTCTTTCTTCCCAGATGACTCTGAGTAGCTTCCAATCACCAACTTTTCCAGTTGGCAGCCAGAACATAACCATCTGCACCCCAAAATTTCTGGGGGTACAACTCAGGCATCAGTATTTTTCAAAAACCCCTAGCTGTGCAGCCAAGCCGGAGAACCAGTGCTCTGACAGAACAAGAATTCACAGGCCGACGATTTCTTCTTTTGCAAACACACCCTGGTTACTTAACGTGAACGCTTAACATAAAAGTGAACTCTGGAACAGTGCCTACCTATGTAGAGCGAGGAGTCCTTCCTGCGCACGTGGTCGTCGATGTAGGAGACCCCCAGGGGCTGCACTGGGGTAGCACCGATGCCCAGGAGCACCTGGGCCCCAATGAGCAGCAAGTACATCATGTTGGTGGCTGTCCGGTTCCGGCAGATGAGGTCCGGGTCTGGACCCTCGCCGCCGCCCGAGCCATTGACGGCACACACGTCTCGGCCCTCGGCGCCCCAGCGGATCTCGCCGGCCTCGTACTTGTACTGGTGCGTCAGGAACTCCGGCAGAGCCGAGAGCAGCGCGCCCAGCGCCATGACGATGCCACCGCAGCCGATAAGGCGCGGCCGGTGCCCGCGGGCTCCGAAGTAGCTCACGAAGAGGATGAGCGCCAGGTTCCCGATCTCGAAGCTGCTGGCGATTACGCCCACGTCGGCGCTCTGCAGGTTGAACCTCCGCTCCAGTGTGGTCAGGACGCTGACCTGCGGGGTGCAAAACAAAATTGAAAAGCAAAGTCAAACGGACATGGAGGAAGGCGCCTTTCTTCCTCATGGTTCACCCTGCGCTCCCTTGACCCTCCCAACCATGTTTTTATAAGATGCGAAAAGGCATTTGTACTGGAAACAACCCAAGTGTCCATCGGCAGATGAACACATAAACAAAATGTGGTATATCCATACAACAGAATATTGTTGTCAGTTCCCCTCAGGATCCCAACTCATGGCAACCCCATACGTGCACAGCAGAACTGTACTCCATAGGGTTTTCAAGGTTGTGACCTTTTGGAAGCAGACCACCAGACCTGTCTTCTGAGGCGCCTCTAGGTGGGTTTGAACCAACAATCTTACTGCTAGTAGTCCAGGGCCTAACTGTTTGCACTACCCAGTGGCTCCAAATGGAATATTATTCAGCCAAAAAGAAAAATGAAGTTCTGATACATGCTTCAATATGGATGAACATTCAAACATTACACTGAGTGAAATAAATCAGACAAAAAAGGGCAAATATCGTATAATCCCACTTGTATGAGATATCTACAACAAGCAAGTGTATAGATACCAAAGCTCATCAGTGGTTACTAGGGGCTGGCGG